TCCCTCCGAAGAGACCGAAAAAGAATGGCTTTGTAGAAAGAAGCGCCAAAATAATGAGTGACAGTTAAGAACGTTATATCGTTGAAAAATAAGTCATTATATATCTTTGTAATTATTACAGGCTTCGTGATGAAAAATAGTTCCCGTTACTTTCCGATCTCTCTTAATTATTAATGTCATTAATTGTGATAGCGCATGACGTAAGGCATAGAGAGTTACAGTTCTGTGAAATATCATCGGTAATGGAAGAGTGGAATTTTTTTCTGGGAAACTAGAAGAGCCTGGATAACTTTCGCGAGTTGCCTTGTACGGGGCAACAGAAATGTGAGAGCTTTGTCGTAATTTTCACCACTAAGCTAATAGTGAATTATCAACATGTGAGATGTGTTCCAGATGGTAAATAAAAATTAATAGCATTTGTCGTTTTTGAAAAACTTGATGAAATTTCTCATTAAATAGCTTGTTTACTCATCAGTTAAAATACATTGACCCGTGCTTGGACGGAAAAGTGTCAAAATTTATTTTAAAAATAACCTAATACAAGGGAAATATTATCTGAAGGTACTGATGTCGTTCAAAACGTATTTGAAAATTTTAACATGAAACATTCAAAACTTATTAAATGATGGAAAGGATTTCTATCGGACAAGAATATTATAAAAATTGTGACTTTCAGCAGTTAAAATTTAAAGTATTTTATTATAATTATTTTTAAGTATGGATAGATATCTATGCTACGAACATTAACATTATGCAAACGTGAAATTAGAACGAAACATTACATGAAAAACTTGGTTAAAATTTCGTGTTGACAAATCAAAGAAATTAACAGGAAGTAAAATATAACATACATCTACGAATGGTATTAATTTGGCCAAAAGTCAGTTTTTATTAACGTATACATTGCTCATACCGGCTTAGAGAGCGACACATCTAGAACTGTCAACTTTATATGATCATGTGCTTGACTTCAACCAAATGTTGGAGGTGACTGCTGCGTTGTTGCAACTGTTCTTGCCCGTTTCTATTTTACAATGTAGATTTTCTTCTTTTTTCAACTTTTCTCCTGATGGTTTAAACATATTTAAAATACTTGTTACAAAAGTAAAACAGAAGTAAAAAGGTCTTTCAGGGTGATCATTTGCTAAGTCCACGGTGGGATCGTTGAGTTCTCACAAGCATTATAGAGACAATAGAATATACGGTGCACGTCTTTGTACAGTAGTTGTAGACTGTACCCAAGAGTCAAACTGAAGTCTGGTTGTGGTGAATTTTTTATACCGCACTGCTTAGAGCTCGATCCCGCCAGCGACGTCGGGCAGGGCCTTTCGCAAGAACAAAGCCCGCTGCCGTGCAGATGTCGAAAGCGCTCCACTGTGCTCGGTCGCTTGAGTACCCCCTTCGTAGGAGGCATTGGGCGCCGCGCGCCGGGCGGCCCGCTGAGGAACGCCGCTGACGGGCAGTGGTTGCCTCATGGCGTGGCCGCGCCCACCACGAAAGCCGTAGCCGAGAGCTGCCAACCACGTTTAGGGCGGCCACTTTCTGGAAAACGGGAAAATCAGAGAATTTTACTGCCCTGGAAAAGTCAGGGGGGAAAATCAGAGAATTTGTAGAAGAAGCGTTAGAAGTGGGAGAAAATGTTGAGGGTTATAAAACCTAATTTCTTAAAAACATTAGTAAAGCGTATTTTTTTTGCTCAGATTTTATTATTGAGGAAATATTGTTAATTTGTACATTGTCACAGCTTTTAATATTTTCTTTAAGAAGTGTGAAATTACGAATCAAGAAAAATAAGAAGGATGCACTAGAAAAGCAGTTTGAGTGGCCACCGACATTTCTGGGCTCCTTTTTTCTCTAAAATTTTGTTTACATCTTATAATATCGTATTACATCGTATAAGAAATAAAATAATTTTAATGACAACTAATAAGTACATACATTTTTTGTGAACCGGTTACAGTATTGCTCAATGTCATGGAGTCTTGTCCCCATTGGTCGTATAACAATTTCCGAAATTTTAACGTTAAAAAAGAGAAGAATCAGGGAGTGAACATATTAAGGGGAAAATGTATGACATAACGATATTAAAATTGTAAGGGGGCCACGGCCATGCTGTCAGGGGCGGAGGGCGGATGGAAAGAGCCAGGGCGGATTCACTTACATACGCAATGACGCCTCGCTACTTTCTTGGACCCGACGCTTTATGCTTGAGTAATATTTTCCGTAAAACGATTTTTAAGGAACTTTAATAAAACGTAAATTTATTGGTTCTTGCAAGCGTTAAAATTCGGAGTTTTATAAACAATATAGATGGAACCGGTTGTACTTTGATCTAATAATTTTATGAAGGAATCAAATCGGCTTTGCCCGAAACAAATGACAGAGGCGCTAGTGGTGAGAAGTCAGTGAAGCTCAAGTGACAATATAATACGTCATTTTGAAGACGCTTTGAGTATCTGAACTACACTGAAATGCACCGTTTAAAATGGCAACGAAAGCGGGTGGCTGAGGCAAGCAGGAAGCCTACTTGTTGACGAACGAATTTTCGAAAAGATTGTCTGTGTACGAAATAGTGATTGGTAATAAATTTATAAGTTTCTTAAAACTCATCTCAAGAAAAAAATTGACCGTGTAACATGCATAAGTGGCTCACACACGTTCGGGGGCATGGCATTGTTCTCCGAACGCCTTCCGGCTCAAGATAACGCTCATCATTGGGAAAACCCTACGGATCTGAACATAGACGTCTTTGTTTTAATGCTCTAACATGAGCTTGCAGCAGACATCTCATTCCATTTTGTGCTGATGGTAACTTGAGTTGAATGTGGTGCGTGAAATCTCGTGTGTTTATCTTCTTCATTACAATTCACCTTTTTATTGTTATTTAGGACGATTTTCAACTACTAAGGTCATATATAAACCACTGTAATTAACATTGGGGACGGACACACACGAACATCCAAGCCCCGGGCGGGATTCGAATCCACGAACCTTCAGGCACGAGGCAGCCTTAGCGATTTCGGCTATCCAGGTCGGACAATGCACCTGGGCTTCTGTGCAATGCGGACAGAGCGTTTTGAAGGAGTGTGGCTTCAAGGAATTGGACCGTTTACCCGACAGTCAGATTGGGCCTACAGCGACTACCAAAACTTACCAAAACTGAAGAAACTCCTTTTTCAGATGGGTGTGAGGTGAAAGACGCAGGTTTTGACCTTTTTGCGAACAAAACTTTGGAATATATTTTCACAAGCCTATAAATGTTAACACAGTTGTCAAAAGAGGATTCGAGCGAAGGATGATAAAACTGAAAAGCGTGTGTGCACTTTTTTAATTGCTTTGTATCAAGAATGGGCGTTAAGTGAGGCCAGACACTTGTGGAGAGGCCTCTGTATCGCTGAAGCGCTGCCGCACGTGCAACGGCAGGGGCACGACGGGTAAGCGGGTCGGCGCCGGGCAGTCGGGCGGAGAGCCTCTAAGGCACGCGGCGCGGCCGAGGACCTTTCGCGTCGAAGGTGCTCGCGTTTAAAAGGCCGCGGCGGGCGGGCGGGAGCCACGCCGTGGTCACTCGGCCGCCGCCGCCGCCGCCGCCGTCCGCTTCGGGACGAGTTGGCAGGCCGCTCCTACCAGCGCCCCCCCCCCCCCTCCCCTCGCGAACCGTAAATCCAAGACCCAGGAAAAATGAAGAGGCAGGAGTGCGACGTACAAATCTTACCCAAAGTGAATGGTCGGGAAAACCTTTACATGAATATAAGGGAATGTGCGTATGTGTGTCGCTCATAGATGCAAAATCTTCTCGATCGATTTCGCTGAAATGTTCACACTATTGTTAGTAATGGGATTGTTTAAAGAGCGGTTTGAATTAAATTGGACAGTGGGGGCATTGTTGAGGACGATTAATTCGTTTTTGATTACTCAAGCGCCCCTGAACTCTACGCAACTCGTCACGTAATCAAGGATTAAGCGCGTCTTCATTGTATATAAGTATTCTGACCCTGCGTTTTGAACTATCGACCGGAATTATTACTTGAATCTCGGACAAGTTACTCAAATTTCTCCAAGATAGTGCCCAAATTTTAGGGAGAACGTTTTAACTATAGAGTATTGGACTACCATGTCCAAACCAAGACATAAAACTAACCCATACTTGCGAGAAAGTATTTCATCTATTACACTTTTTGCACAGCGTAGCGTTACATGGTTAACAGACATGTGACCAGTAGCATATAAAGAGTAATACACTGCAATATCGAAGCATTGCCGGATCCTCAGTTACAATTTAGTTTACTCCTTTTTCAAGGATTTACGGAAGACAAAATCTCTAAATGACAGTTGAAATTTATTACACAACATTTATAAACAATTGAAGTTGGTAGTCAGCGAATCTAACCTGCGCCTTAACGAGAGATCCTATTAGCGTACACTTTTCTTCCTTCCTTCCTTCCTTCCTTCCTTCTTACCTACTAAATGCATTTTTACCCGTCATATTTTACTAGCGGTTTCCGATTTCGACGTCATAACTTCTTCCAAATTTGTCCTTATGTATGTTTCAATTATAGGCGTTCGGGTTCCGGGCACTTTCTCGTTTGTCGCAGAAACTGTAAAATAAAGGTACTTTAGTACGGATCTGTCCTTCATGCTTCACCCAACACCTTAACTTTTGGACGTATTTAGACTATGGTAAAATCACCCTGTGACACGCTGATTGCAAACAGTTCAGTGCAATTACGATCGCTTTCGCATATGGTTGCATTCGCATGGGGGTGGAAACATTTGAAAACGGTAATCGCTGGCGGTCTTTGCCATCATTTCAGAAGAGGCTTTGATTTCTAAGATCAACTTCACGAAAGGAAGGAAATACATTTACCTTAAGAAAGTACATAGTTGAATTCGACATAATGAAAAAAATAAATTTCAGTTACATCTAAATTAATTAAATGAGTATTATTAGTATCATTTCATACACGTACATTACTTAAGGCGGGAGTTATTGCCGCCCGTCAATGGATGGCGTTTCCAGAAGTTGTCATTTGGAAACTAAGAATGGGTTGAAAGTACGAGTAGTATGCTCTTTGGGTTTTTTGCCGTTAATTGGGCCACATTTGCCTTGAAAAGTCTCCTTTTAACAATGGTTACATTAGCTTCAGTTTTGTGATCTCTGCGAAGCAGCGCGCGTTTCAAGATTTATTGCCTTCCGCTCCTCGCGCAGTAAAAGTGCTTGTCACGGCCCTGATATTGAGATCCGCGAGCTAGAAGAATACGACTTCGCCCGCGTGCCGCCAGGAGGCAGTGAAAGTCGCTGGCGGCTGCTCCTCCGAAAGGCTCCGCTGCTCTGGTATGCGCGGTGGCCGCGCAGCGTGGCGGAGCGTTGCGGAGCGTTGCACGCTCTGCGGAGAGATACGCTCTCCCTGCGCGGAAGCCCCGCAAATCCAACGGTGTCGAAGGACCAGAGATGGGGGAGCCAAATCACGGCGTAATCGGCGCAGTCCAACGCAGTGCTTTCGAAATTCTTAAATGGGTCGAGTGCAGTTCACTGGAAATGTCCTTTAAGGTGTGACCGAGCCGCTAAACCACAAGCGTAAAAATAAACTCTGAAATTCATTCCTTGTGAGTGAGCACTCATTTGGAACTTCATCATGTGCACTGTGTATAGGTCTCCCCGAAGCACGTCATAGTTTCTGTTTTTGACGTACAATAAATAAAAATCTAATCAAGCAGAATGCTATGTCACGCCCCCCCCCCCCCCACCTTTTGAAGGATTAAACTACGTGCTACGAGAGCAGATACTTTTTCGCACTGTTGGGAACGGTTGCATACTAATTGTAGTTCGTGAATGTTGTAATTTCTCCCCCTTCTAACAGTTCAGCCTTCACGTCTAAACCAATTCAAACGAAGCGCCTGAGGTACACATCTGCAATTATTTCGACAGTCAGGAACAACAGGGAATAATATTCTTTCTTCTAGAAAAAAGAAAAACACGTGAAATCTGTTACGGTATTTTGCAAACATTATACACAAAAACAAGTATAATTTCACGCAAGTTCGCCTAGATTACATGGAAGAGAGCTTCCGAGTTTTGATTACCATAAACAGTGATCAAACCTCTTTGAAGTAAAAGAAGTATATAAATTAAACATCCAGAATTGAAGGCAATCCAGTATATCACCTTAAGACAAATGCATCAATATAATTCAGCATTTGAGCACATATTTTACTCTTCTCAATCATCTACGAGTATATTCTTCCAGATCATATATACTAGTTAAGTTACCATATTATTGAATGTGGAGGCATTGTAACATTACGATCAATTAAATAATTAGTCTACCTACCATTCCACCCGTATCGTCCAACAATGAGAAGAATTCTAAGATTTCAAAATGTCTTACTGCAACATTGCCATTTTCAGATTGCGATATGTCACATTAAACGAAGCGTGGGAAATCAAATTTTTGAAGAATTTATTGGAGATAATGAAAATCTATTTACGCGGGAACGTTTGTCTGGCATTTTGGAATTGACGTTTGTCTGTATTATTGTTAATTGTGTGACAAATTGTTAAATGTATAAACATTCAAAATATATTTAAATCTGCGAAAATTCTAAAATATCGTATATGATCAGTTTAATGAATTTTGATAAATATAATGAATATTAGGTTTCTAAAAGTACTTTTAAAATAAATGATATATAAATAACAAAATACTTATGTAATAATTTAAAAAAATCGTTATTTGATTGTTTTATTAAAATGGAACAATAATTGACAGACGGTGCTGCGTACTTGAATATAGGTAGAGAACTGTTCGTAAGATTAAATATGGTATTGGCCTAAAAGAAAAACTTTCAAGTTACATATTTTTTTCTAGATGAGCTTATTCTTGACAATATCTTTCCCAATCCACCATGAACGTCGAGACGGGCAGGGGAAGGGAATGTTTAGGGCTCCAGCTGCTTGTTGCAGCCCCCTCTGATAGGCGACTTCGTGACCGGGGTTTATTTCTGGCAGATGGCGTGCGCAGAAGGCGAGATCGGCGTTCTGTCGGCAGGCATGCTTGACCTAGAGACGAATCCGGTCCAGGAAACGTGCTGATTACGGGGGTTTCGGGGCGGGCATCGTTTGGAACGCACGTTGATTAGTGGTGCGTAAAGCACAAAAGTATCGCTAATTAACAGAAATAAAAAAATTATTTACTGCGTGTCTTAATAGGTGTAATCCATTCTGTAAAGGCTGTGTACACCTCAGCCCAGAGGAAACTAGGAGCCACGGAAGGCCCTCCTTTCTCTCCCCCCTAATTCATAGAGCGAGTTCATTTCAGGTGTATGAATGAGGTAATCAACCGCAATATGTAAAAATAGTGTATTTAACACATTATACGCTTGTATACCTTGAACCAGACTAGTTTAGGGGATCTCCAGTGGTTACTCAGCAACACTAATTCCAAAACGTAACCTAAACAATAGTAAAATAATTATTAGTGCACTGTATTTTTAACAAATTTTAAACTATTGATTTTATTGGAGATGATTCTTACTCAGGTAACGTGGTCATATGTGTGTGGAGATTGAGGTATCAAAACTTAACATCCACATTATAGCATGGAGAGGTCATTTCTCCCTGCATCAGAAATAACTTTTAGGTTTAAATTTGGAATACCGATTAATACATTTTTTTATTTCTTTTAAATGGAAAAAAATTATTTCGGAACCCCAATTAGTTTGATGCAAGATGCCTCCCCCCCCCTTCTGGTCGCCACTGCACATCAGTAGTGATTTATTCCTCAAAACAAATAGTGAAATGTATGTTGAAATATTTGCTGGTTGTTATAAATCTGTTGAAAAGACAATTTCTACCCCCAAAACGTGAAATTTTATGGATTAGTCTCGCCCGGATTTAATGTATTTTTTGTTTAATATTTTATGTGTAAATTAACTTTTCCATACGTTTTCCCCTAATAGTCTCGAAGAAGCGTTTCTAGAATAGTGAAAACTAAAGAAAATGTGCACAGATCTTCTCTCCCATAAGACACGTAGTTTTTTACTGTTTTTTGACTGAATAAATCTAATTCGTATTAGACATGGATACTGATGCGTGACAAGTAATGGGAAAGGTGTAGCGTGAAGATTAAAATAAAAGAGTAATTCAGTATGGACTACTTTTCCACCTCGCCGTTTAGGTGGCCAGTCTGGACAGCAGAGATCGAGGCGGAAGCGAAGGGTTTGGTGTTCGGGTCCCGGTTGGGAGTGGATCGTGAATCTGTTTCGCGGCATGGTGCTTTCTCTCTTCCGTCATGCATCGCCTTTTCGCACTTGTCCCATGTACGCGAGGCTCGTGCACGTTGCACTCGAAGGGTCGCTCCCTGCCACCTGACAGTGCGGGAGCGGCGCCGCCAGGTTGTGCTCGGTGTGGGCCTCCGGGTCGCAGCTGGCGCTGCGTAGGTGCGGCGATTCTGGCCCCGCATTCACGCTAATACACGTCCCAGCCAATGGGTCACTCTCACGACGGGAACAGATTTTGGTGTAAACACACAATTTTAGTGGAACAACACACGTGCATTGCCGATCCGGTGGCCGGGATCGTTAAGACAGTAGTACCGTAGCGATCTCGGACTGAAGGATCGCGGTTTCGAGTCCCGCCTCGGGCATGGTTGTATTGTGCTGGTCATTTCACCCCCTATCATCATCGTATCGTATCATCCTCAGAGTTACTATACCGTTGCAAGCAATAGTGGTCGCTAATGACCTAGAAGTTGATAGGACCTTAAATAACAGAAAGAAATACGTACGTTTAAGTTTTTTAGTGTTTGATACATTCACATCATTTTTTTACAGAACATGTTTTTGATGAGACGTGCACATATATTTTTATTTTACATATCATTACACATGTTGGGATATTTCATTTTTTTACATATTTTATTCAAATCTATATATTTCTTGGGTATGTTTATTTTAATTTATTTATAATTGGAAACAGAACCTTTTTGTAATGTTACGAGAATCATCTTTCTTGCAAAGCAATGTAATTCCACCGCGCTATGACCACCGGACCTGCGCCTTGAATATTGTCACCCCCCCCTTGGAAACCGCGTTCTCGTTATCAAGAGTGTGCGCGTATTTGTGAAACAAATGTAATTTCAACCACACGCTTGCCTGTTGCATAAAGCCCATGCGTAATTCGATCAAAAAATGATGAATATTTTTCTGCTTATCTCCCCCTCTTCCCGGATCCATCACCGGCTACAGTGAACTTGCATTCGCTTGAGTTCCTTGTAAGCGTTGAACAGACAACGGACGTATTTTATATTTTGCATAAAACTCTTACGTGTGGTGAAAACTAGTGTACAATAACTTCTGAAGAGGTAAAACTTTCTTTCAGCAGTTCCAATTCCTTTTTCAGATCTGGTAGATTGCCTTCACTGGGGAAATGTTTATGTATAGCAATTTCAAACACAACAATTAATTTTTTATTTCACGAATGGGTGAAAACCAGAACGGTATAAGTGACAATGTATAAATTCTGAGACAACTTTACATTAGGCTATATTTCAGTGCCAATGTAATTTCGTAGTTTCAGTGAACAATTGAAATGCCGTGATTTTAATGATGGCACAAAGCACCAAGACTTCTCACTGATATTGAATTAAATAAAGTTTTCTCGGAATTTGTAATATGTCATACCGTTCTGGCTTTCGCGATTCACATCTTATCCTTAATCCTCTTTAATATTTTGGAAAAAATAAGTACGTGTGTAAGTACGTATTTTACTTTTTTATTACAATAAATTCCGTTCACTACTTAAAGCAAGAGACACATCCTGTGGAATAAAAGGGCCACATCAGGTGATGTAAAGAGGAACTTGAAACGCACCGTAGTGCCCGCACCTGGGAGCCGTGTAACTGTTACAAATGCCTGTAAACAGATTGATCGTAGAAGTTTTTTTCTGGACTTAAATGGGAATGCGCATGGTAGTCAGATTGTTATTGTACTTCTGCACTCGTGATTGAATTGGCCCGAATTGACTTAACAACTCAACAATTATTTCTTCGACATTTGCGATAAGCTATAAGAGCTAATATATAAGCTAAGCTATAAGATGAGACAATTTAATTTCTAGTTTCTTTGGATAGGCAATGTTTCAATTTTTTGCACTTCATGATTTGCAATTCTTAAGCTGTCGAGAATAGTACATCGCATTGTCGTAGAGAATATTGCATTGCATTTCTGAATCGTAAAACGTTGTTAAAATGGATCCATTACCCCACATCTGGAGGGATCTAGTTCAGCAGCTGGGAAGTCGCGAAAGTAACTTGTTGGAGCTCCGCGGTTTGCATGCGCGCGCGCATGTTTGCAGATCTGCGCCGCCGAGGAAAGCGCTGCGAGAGAGCTGCGCGAATCCTCGCGAGAGACACCAGTTTCGAATTCCGCCGGCTTCCTGCGTTGTTTGGAATGATTTTTCAGCTGTGCTTAAGCCTTTCAGGCGTATTATTGCTTATTATGTATTCGATTTTCCTTAATTTTTATTTGGCACATATTTCCTTTGCTTAAGTTGTACACATATCTTTTCCTATAGAGAGAATGCAGGTTTATGAAGTGATGTACATAGGTCTATATTCCGATAATATAATATCTAATGCAAAATTATGATTTTACTGTTGCATTTGCTTTTTTTGTTTCGCGAATCTGCTAAAATGGGGCCTCGCATTACGTGCATCCCACAGAGCCTCAGTCTGAATGTCGGGATAGGTGCAGGTTACTTTCTATTGGGGATCAGCATTTTAACGCCGATTCCATTTTTACACCCCAGGGTAGTTATCTCTGGGGAATGGGATGAAATTGTGATATGAATGATGAAATACTCACAAACCTACAGAAACCCCACCCAATACAACTTTTACGAGGTGGGACTCGAACCCGCGATCTCCTAGTCCGTGCTGACTACTGCCTTAGCGACCATCGGATTGCTACATTTTGTTATAATAATATAATAAATATAATAATAATAATAATAATAATAATAATAATAATATAATAATAATAATATAATAATAATAAATCCTCGGTAGCCAGTATACCTGGAGGCCCACCTTCGAAATTCCTGTAATACCTCATGATTGGGTGCGGCGTAGATACTAATAGACTATTTTCACTGAAACTATTGTATACAAGGAAATTGAGTTGTGTAATATTGTTCTACAGCTTTTTTCTTGCGGAGATATGGACATAATTTCCATCTTTTAAAGAAACCTTAGATATTCGAGCCCATGATAAGGAGTGTTCGTAAATACGAATATTGCCATATATCGCTTCGTGCTATCAGTGCTTCTCCCAAGGACGGCGAAGGAAGCGAGTTTCCTTGGAGTATCACCGGTCGCCCCCCCTCCCCTCGTGTTTTTTATCGCGGGAGGTTGCGGTGATACTCCCCCACGTGCTGGCGAGAGACGGCGAGGACGCCGCTCTAGCCGGGACTGGGTGTCAGCTCCGACTGGCGTTCCGACAAGTCTGATAGCGTAATGCATGTGAGTGTGTGAGTCAGGGGTAAGGTTAGAAAAAGGGAAAGCGCAGTCCGTGGCCCGTTTGTTAGGATACTGCTTCGGCAGTCGCCGTGTGTAGATAGGAGAATCCACGGAAAACTAGCGATCAGAGCAGCCAGCCACTAGAATTCTCTTCCAGACAGCGCCTGAACCCCACCTAGCATACAGCTAGGGCCGAAAATCCCGCCATCGCCGGGACTCGAACTCTGAGGTGTCAGAGGTACTACATAAGTTGATGCCCTGAGCCACCTAAGCCGATTTCTCCCTCCCAGAGGGCTTCTGTTAGCAACAAGGCGTGCTTGAAGAAACCTTATTATCTTCGTCTTGCATCGAGAACGTCTATTCACTTCTGACGTTCTGTTTTTGTAGTCGGCCCAGGCCTCATGGGAGTTTGCCAGACGCCGTTTACGTGTTGAGCGTTAAAACGTTAGCGCTTTCTTATTTGGTATTTTCCTCTGAATGTAGTACACTAAGGGGAGATGACAATTCTAGATCGTCACAAAACCCCGTGAGTGCGCTACTACGGGAAAGGCAGTTGCTCCCTAAGCCTGCATCAGAGGGATTTGAGACGAAGCATGTAGAAGTTTCCAGGCAGAAAGAGCCTGCGCGCGTACAGAGCAAATGCCTTGCAGTTGTGCACAGTTCGGAAAGGACGCGTCGAAGGTTGTTAAATAGAGTTGCTTTGACCGTTTGGTTCGCTACCGAGCGCGTCAATTGCCAAGGTCATTAGTCCCGTTAGTGTAGTGCATGTTACATCACTAGAGGTGAAGCTGCTAGAATGTTCTACTAGCTCCTACCTTGAGCAGTAGAATGTTTGGATTGCGAATTCGTTGATGGTTTTGTGGAATATTTATTAAATCATTGTTATAAAGCAGTAATGTAAATTAATTTAACAAGTCTCTCGAACTGACTGTCCCTAAGAGAAAGAATTTTTGTTAATCTCCTAAATTGGACGTAGGCGGTTATAGAAATTATTGAAAACTTAAGTAAAAGGGATAGCGATAAAGATCCTTTCGATTCAAAAGGTTTAATTTTATCCTCAACGGACAAGGGACGTGGCAATCTCTGAGGTGTTTCATTTTAACGGATCATTTCTTTGCTTCGGTGGAGGAAATATGAAATAATATCGGTTTCGAGGCAGAAACAGTCAACCGACTTACCGAAAAGGCTGTCAAGTGACGCCTCGCTTTCCTGCAAATCTCGCGGCTTTCGCTGTGGACTCAGTACCTGCGAGTTCTAGCGAGCTAGTTGCCTTACGGCGGTCTTTAACATGCTTGACTTAGGTCGTCGAGCATCGCCATGCAATTCTGTTGATTCAGCGTATGACTAATTCGTTTGAGGAAATTATGGACCACGCTGGCTCACCGTCCTCTCTGGACCTCTGCGGTGTTTTTGGACTTTGCAGCATCATTGACCGAGAGATTCTGTGGGTTTCGGAAGGAAAAGACTGAATTACTTTACATCCGACACTGCACCGAACGAAAACTTCGGCCAGATGTTGCGTGCCAGACGCCACCCTCAATACGCGGCGGATATAAGGGATTTTTATACCTGTCGATGCGACTATGCTTTAAATTATATTGACTAATGAGCATATCTCAAAATGGGACGTGAGAGGTTTCTGCACGTAGCGATTCAAAAACACATTCACTCCCTTGCAAAATTGCCTGGGCTGGTGTCCTTGTAAGATTACGGGGCTGCGTATTGCT